TGCTGGCCCATCTGTTTCGCAGTGAAAGGGGCTACATAGACTGGACTGGGTGACTGATGCCTGGAATTGTCACGGCACATGACATTCCAAGTCTGAGGGGCTATGGCAATGTTCCAGGGAACTCAGGCTCGGCAGGATTGCCTAGCATATGGAAAGGGTGGTTTTGGGGTCTCACTGCTGGCAGGGCTAGAAGTGGTGGTTTTGCAGCCCCATGTGGACCCCGGCGTAGTGCCCAGTCACCCCCACCATCAGTCCCAACTGCATTCTTGTCCATTCGATTAAGCAATAACTCTCAGCAAGGCCTGGGCACCATCTACTGGAATAAAAAGCCTTTTGCTCGAAACATTTTGTGCCTGTTGAATGACGCCCAGCTCTGCCTGATGGTCACTGCTGCCCTCTTGCCCCACTGCTTCCCTGAGGTCCCAGGGAGATCTGCCTGAATTGCGAGGTCAGGTATAAAACAGGCTAGTTCAGGTACAAATGGCATGCAGTTATAAATCAACATAACCTCCTTGCACAGTTGTTGTTAAAGCACCTGGAATTTCTGTGCCTGAATTTCTGGCCCTACACCTGGGGCACATGCCATTTTGGGATGCTCACCCTGAACCCTCTCCTCACCACCACCAAGGTGCCTGGCTCTGCTCTTCCAAACTCACCAGTCAAATAGCACAAGTGGCAACTGAAAAGAAAAACTGCAAGTTTTCCTGGAGTATTGGATCAAAGTGGGGAGTGAAGAGTGGTAAGTACTTTCTAGGGGTACAGAGCAAAAAAGATTTTGTCTCTAAAAATCCTAGCTACTCTTACAAATGCTAATTGTGGGAATGTGTTCAGGTGAGTATGGGTGGTTGTTTACTCAGGCAAATGTTATGCTTAGAGAAGAAGCATCCATTATTGTGTGCTACCTCTGCTTTCTAGAGCCTAAAAGCCCTCACACATGAGATGCACTACTGGAAAAAGCAGGTGCTGGATGAAAAAGGCATCAGGTCCCCTGCGATTCAAGTAAGCCAGATGAGGGGAGGGTGATCTGTGAGCTTTGCTTGGGGATTGCCACAGCAGGCCAGCTGGGCAAGGCTCAGGTCGGGTCCTTGGCTCAAAGCCCACACAGCTGCACAGGTTTTCCAGTGATGTATGTTGGAGCAGCAGCATCACTGAGAAAGCCTGCTGGACTCAGCCTTTGGGTATTATACCCCTTAAGGAAGCCTTCTTACTTCTTTCAGAGTTGTGATCTGCTCCTGCAGATCACTATTCACTATGGTGCTACTGCTTCAGGCCAGCAAAATTGCAAATAACTGCTAAAATGCTTCCTAAAAGAAGTCTAAAAACCAATGATGAGCTTTGAGGAACCATTTGAAGGGGCACCATTTGAAGCATCAGTTCAAATGGCATCTTTTTACAGGTTTAGAAGCTGGGCACCACAAAGAGGGTGTTGGGCACCAACCTTTAGCATTGAGCTTAAAAAGGAGTTTTGAACTGAATGTTTTTAGGTACAGAACTCGATGCTGACTGCACACACACTTTCACAGCCATGTGGGAACAACAGGGGCAGCCCGGAGAGACACAGGTCCCCCTTGTAACACCGTGTTTTTTCAGAAGAGGGCAAAAGCAGACTGCCTGAGGCAGCAGCTGAAAACAGCATCTCTCAAAGAAGACGAACACTGCTACAGAACAAGAATGATTTTTCCCCTCACCTGCTGTAGTTACTCAGTGCCATCATCCCGCACCAAGGAACAGGGACTGAGACGGACTGAAATACTACTCAGATCCCAGCAAACCCCTCTTCCCTGTGCTCAGCCTTCCTGCTAAGCTGACAGCCAAACCTGGGCAACTGGAGGAGCTCTGAGCTCATCCTGATTTTTGAAGGATGGAAGATGCTCCAAAGCCTCCCTGCTTTGCCAAAAGAAGCACATAGTGCCATTAAGAAGGGTGCAAATCAGTCCCAGCAATAAGAAACCTACCTGAGTTTTTCTTCTGCAGAACAAGCCACTCACTACTGCCTCCCATCAAGGGCTTCAGAAATATTTTTACCTAATGCAAACAGTCTTAATATATATTTCTCTAATAGACCATTCACCAGCGCTTCCCTGTGAAGAGTTTGGGAAACGTATTTGAAGGTCACAACCATTGCTATAGCCAAGCAAAGGCACAATCTGACACATGAATTGCAATGCAATTCTCAGTGGGACTATTAAAAATTATTTTAAGTCAATATTATCATCTTTTGGGGGCTTCTTTTGCTAATTCTTGCCTATTTCCCTGCATCCTTATTAGAGGGACTGCTATGCGGAGTTGCTTTGGGGAGTGCAGTCCTATCTGGGCTGGGGGGGGGTCAGATGTCACACTCCCTCCCATCAATAACCCACCACATGTCCCTGGCAGCCTGAGAGGATGATGTAGCCCTCTTTCACTTGGGTTCCCCTGGCAACAAAACCAACTTGCCCATGGGCAGGCCCCTGTGGGAAAACACAGCCATGGCCATGGGGCTGAAGGGCTGGGCTAATTGCTGGACCTCTGCTGCCTTATGGAGTCCAGTTTGTCTACTAGCAGCTCAAAATCATTTGGGTTATTAGTGAGTCAGAGAGAAGCAGTACCAACCCAGCCAGGGTGGCAAGTGGGTTTTCTCACATCACTGTGCATTTTCTTGTCATTGGTGATCACCCTGCAGCAGGCTATGTCTGTGTATGACATCTTATACTACATTCACCCTTCTTAAATTACTTTATGACCCTTGATCTGATCTCCAGGATACCCTTGATTTGGGAGAGTACAGAGCTGAAAACCTCTGGCCAGTGAACCATGCATTCCTCACTTATGAGTTGCTTTCCCCCGCCAAAAAATACTGGCAAACCATAACCATCAGTAAAAATCCCAATGCTGTTCCTCCAGGGTGACTGATATACATGCCAGCTCAATTTGGGCTTAGTTCATGCTGTTGGCTAAAATTAACCTTTTATTTTTGGAAGTTAATAAACTTCTTCCTTCATAAAATGGAAAGGCAAAGGGTGTTTCAGCTTGCTTTAAAGCTGGTCCACGTGGAAGGAGATAGAACAGGTATGTAGCCTTTCAGCTTTTGTGGGATGTACAGAGAAGAGGCAAGAGATTTCCTTCCCTCCCACCTCCAAGTGATGAGTATTTTCAGTAGTGGCTTTAGTTTAAATGTGTTGGTGTTGGAGATGGGTTTTGTAGCTTTTTATTTTATAAACAACATAATTGTAGTGGAAAAACAGTTTGTGTTGTAGGTGATTTTCAGGCAGAAAATCCTCGTGGAGCTGAAGCCTCAGTTGTTACCATGTTGCGAGTGGTTGCCATGGACTGCGTGCCGAAGAGCCAGTGTCAGCTACCATTGGACAGTTCATAGCACCACGACAGCTCAGCCAATCCCTGGTCATACCCTGTTGCTGTCTTGTCCCCTTATGCATATGTATTTAATCCCTACCTATCAATGTAAGTAGATTTGCATGCTCCACCTCCTTTCCAGCATCTTCCCCGACCTAGCCCTATAAAACCCCACCATTTTGTCTCAATAAAGGCAGCTCAGCCACATCAGCCTGGGCCTCAGGGAGATCAGCCTTGGCTGTTCAGGTGTTCACGGACCGTGTCGTGTGTCTTTCTCCTACGTGCGCAACCAGGGTGAACCTAACCTGTTAGCCACTGCCTGTTGCCCTCTCTACATAACCTACAGGCTAGGAAAGAACCCCGAGCTGGTCGTATCCCTTCCCACACTGCAAAACTGCGACATGTTGGGCCCTCCAATGAACATTTTTTCAGCCCGCTGCTGTGATCCTCTAGCAACAATGAGGAAGATCAAGGCTGTTCAACTTACTAAAAGCTACTCCTCCTTTTCCTCAGTGCTCTCTCCTCCCTTAGCCCTGATAACACATTCCTGCTAAAAGCCATCGAGTCCCACCTGGAAATACAAGTGGTGCTAATTCCACTCAGCCAACCTCAGCTGCACCTGAAGTGTGAGTGGACCAGGGTCACTGCCTTAACGCATGGGAGGTTTCATACTCCAGTAAATCCAGTTGTACTTCATCTCAGCTTAAACACTTTTGCTTTCCAAAAATCTTGGATCCAAAGGGCAGAGGCTTAGATTAAAAAAATCCTAAAGGAGATTTAGTGCTTGATATAAAAATGCTAAAATGCTAGAGCAATTCCAAATATATATTTAATGTAGGGATAACTTAGTACCTCAAACCAGCCTCCATGCAATGAACATGAAGAATGAAGGATGTGAATATGATGACTGAAACGAGTTTGCTTCAACTCCCAGATGCAAGATTGAGAAAAATGGAAGAGTGATCCCCATCTATCCTTAAACCCTCAACACTTTGTCAATTACCTAAAAGCAACAGTTGTAATAACAGAGAAATTTTTCTAAAAAATGAACCTCCTCACACAGAGCACATTCTGAAAATATCCTTAGGCTATCCACAGTGTTGGACAAATTGCCACCACCCTCCCCACACCCGAGAGTGCCCATGGGATCAGGGGCTGAGGAGCATTCCTGCATCCAGCAGGGCTGAGGCAGGGTTGCTGCCACTCTCTAGAGCTCCAGCCAACTCCTCTGAATGCAGGTCCAGTGGCAGACTGGCCAGAAGGAAAACGGAATTTTAATTTCATTCTTTTTTCCTGTGTCGCCTTTCATAGCAGAGCAGGGCCTTGTAGGGGAGGGTGCTGTGCCCGGGGAGCAGAGCAAACCTCCTCCTACCCCTGCTTTGAAACGCTCAGCAGAGGAACAGCTGAACACCTGAAAACTCCCAAGACTTCAGAGACTTGAAATAAGGATCTAAACTGTTAGATCTTCACCAGTTTGGGGTGAGGCCTAGGGTCGAGGGGGGGTATTGTAGTTTGTTGTAATTTTAGTTGCTTTTAATTAGGGTTAAAATAGTCTCACAAGTCTTTTCAGCAACTAATAAACACGAAGGAAAAGGGTTAAGAAAGGGTTTCATTTTCTTTGGAGCGGGGGAAGGCGGGAGTGTCGAAGTTTCGGTGGGCTTTCTCCAGCCACCGAAAGGCTGCAGCGTTACTCCGGCGGGCGGCAGAGGCAGAGCAGGTGATCCCTCTGCCCTGCCCGCGTTGGGCCTCGCCCGGAGGCTGCGCCAGGCTCTGAGCCGGCACAAGCAGGACGTGCCCGCTGGGGCGGCACGAAGGTGCAGGAAGGCAGCGGCCACGAAGATGCTCCGAGGGCCAGAGTACCTCTCCTCTGTAGGCAGGCTGGCAGGGAGCCGGCACTGTCCAGCCTGGAGAGGGACGGGCTCCCGGGAGGCCTCACTGTGTCCCCCCAGTGGCTGAAGGGGCTCTATAGGAAAGGCAGAGAGCGATTTCTTTACGTGGGCAGAGACTGAGAGGAGAAGGGGGAACGGTTTTAAAGCAGAAGCGGGAAGATTAGGTTAGATGTTAGGAAGAGCTGTGAGGATGTCGAGACACTGGAACAGGCTGCCCAGAGAAGCTGCGGATGTCCCGTCCCTGGAAGGCCCCATTCCAGGCCAGGCTAGATTGGGCCCCGAGTATCCTGATCTAGTGGATGGTGTCACTGTCCATGGCAGGGGAGTTAGAACCAGATGATCTTTAAGGCCCCTTCCAAGCCAAGGCATTCTGAGTCTCCATGAGCAGGCAAAGAGGTCACCGGTTACCGGAACATGGAATGGTACCAAACGGTTGCCATGCAGAGGGGTCAGGAACCCAGCACTCCATCGACAGCTGGCAGTTGGCAGATTCTCTGCTGGGAAGCAGGTGCGGAGGAGCCTCTGTCTTCTCTGTCCCAGGTGGGAACAGAGGGCAATTTGCTGGTACTTTTCAAGAAAAATTCTCAACCAACAGTACAGGTGAGTGCAAATGATCTTTGAAAATAGTTCTGATGCTGTGGGGCTGTTCTGATGCTGTGGGGCTTCAGGTCCAGCTGCAGGTGCCTGCGGCTCAAGTAGCAGACTTGGGGATGCCCCCTCTAGCTTTGGGCAGAAACTGGCGAACTCGTGAAAGGGAATCTTAGCTATGCATGGGTATTTAAGAGAACAGGCATTCCAGATGGGTAATCTCCTCTCTTCTTTTCTGATAGGTTTGGAAGAATATCATTCTCCGAACCCTAGAAATCAGGACTTTGTAACAGCGTCCTATCTAAGGAATCTAAGGGATTGATTGCTGTAACTTCCCTGAAATTCCCTTTTTAGTGTTTGTCCCACCAAACTTACTTTTCCAGTGGTTTTAGAGAACAAAACACCATGAGCACAGTAAGTACTTTACTGTTCAATGCAAATCTAATTTCTGAAACGTGTCTTCTGGGATCCTTCTAGAAAGGATTTCAAGAGTTTTTAGCAAGTGGACGGGAACAGAAGCCTATCAAAAGTTCATGTAACTTCATGTTCTGGGATAGTGAGGATTTTTAATCTCTCAGGGTGCTAGCAATAGTTGAGAAATGCTTACAGTGTGACCAACAATTGAGAGAATTGTGAACTAGTCTTCTTATTTGCAAGCCACTTGGTATAGGCTTTTTCCTGGTGAGGCAACTGGTAAGAGATCGGGGGTGATGTCTTTTCCTTGATGCCATGGGCTCATGTGGGAATGACCCCCAACACCATTCAATGAGTATTCCAGCCTTTGCGGAATTGTGTTCCCTATCCTCCTGTGCTTTCACTGGTGTTCCAAAAATGAGGGCCATGTTAATATTGCTGCCACACAAAATGCTCTGGCTTTGTTGTCTTAGAATCGGCAAAAGAGCCGTGGAGAAGCAGTTAATTCCACACAAGCTTCGAAACAAAGCAGGATGCCGCCTTCTAGTGAAGGTGGACCTTCAACAGCAGAGCCAATAGACCTCGAAGAAAATGGTGTGCTTTCTTTAGATCTTGGTAAGAACAGAAACTGCTCCTGGAACACTGGGATACAGCTGAACATATGCTTTTACCAGTTTCTAGGCCCTTTACCGGGGAGGAAGGGAAACATGGGATTTCAGAAAGTGCCCAGTAGGGTATTGCGGAGGCGCAGAGGAGAAAGGACTTTGAAATATGGAAACAAACCTACAATAAATACTGAACAGACTTTTCACAAAACTAATGGATGGACTTTCTTCAAGATGGACAGACTTTATGTGCTTAACCGGCTATGGACACTTATGGACAAGTTTCATAATATTTAATGTTTGTTTTAATGTTATAATAAGAATAGGATTAAATCCCCTCACAAACTACTGTTCCCTGATTGGTTGAAATCCCCCTGTTATGATTGGTTGTAATGTGCCGCAGTATGGGCAGGCATTACTTGAGGCAGATTATCAGTTGATTGGTTACCGGTTATGGCGCGCTATGTTTGTACGGTTCTTATTGGTTATACTCCTTGTCAGTCATGTAACTCCTCCCCTTGTTCTAGTCCCTTCTTCCCTGAACCTATAAAAACCTCTGTTCTCCCCTCAGGGGGGAGCGACATTTTTCCCAGAGGGTGTCGCAGCTGTCCCGGGAGCCCCTTCTTTTTTCCTGGAATTATCCCAGCTGCCAATAAACTAACAACAGTTTCACCGAACCCTTGTGTCGCTCAGCTCCTTTTCTGCTCTTGGGCTGTGGCATATGGCACCCAGTCGTGAGACTTTGTAGAGTTCTCTCATATTGAGGGAACTCCGAAGTTGTCAGCTGGGATACAGAAGTCCTGGTGTTGTGGTGATCTTCCCGGCAGCCACCCCCAGCTGAACAGTGGGCAACAACAACTGCAGATCGTTGCCGTCCCCTTCGCACCTTCGACTGCTGGCAGAGGAAGGTGAGCAGCTGGGGCAGTCCTAATCCCTTCCCCATTTTCAAATCCCCACCTGAGAAACATGGGTGCGCTGCTCTCTACAACCAAGCGCGAAAAATATCGGCACCTGAAAATGCTTATTTTACAGCACGACCAGTCGCCAGATAAAAAATCTTTAAAGCTATTGGTGAAATGGCTGGATAACAAACAGGAAAAGGTCCCTCACGTTTTTAACTTGAGTGATTGGGACGAAATTGGATTTTATATATGGACTGATAAAAACAACAAGGTTGTGGGAGCGAGTTCGGCATTGGAGGCTTGGAGGAATGTTCTGATGGTCCTACAGGACCAAAGGATGAACAAGAATTCAATTTCTCCTCCTCGATCCCCTCACCGATATTACCTGGACTATGACAAAACTCTTAAAAGGTGACGTGGCAAAGGGAAATCTACTGAGCCCTGTTACCCATCTGAGCCACAAAATGGTGCCGACCCTGAGGGAGGGAGGCGGAGTCGTAGCACAGCGCGGGAAACATCAAGTTGCGTCATTCCCAGATCACGCCCAATGTACCCTCCAACTGTAAACTCCTACCCTATACACTCCCCCTCACTTACATCACTCAATGGTAGTCACGAGGGGCAGAAACAAGACGGCGTCGAGGCTAGTTCCGCTGATAACATCCGGAAACATGGCGGTGCCCATGATCGGCATGAGGCCTGTACATCGCGGCTAGTATCCCATGCCGATGTATGGAAGGAATGTAAAGCCCAAGCACTTCAGGCAGGAGACAGAGACTTCCTTAAAGCATTCCCGATTTATTTTGATGAAGGGTCTACACCTCAGTGGACACCGATATCATACCCGATATTGAAAGATATCAAAAAAGCTATCGCGGAATATGGTTTGGGTGCTCTGTTCACCCTTGGTCTATTTGATTCTATGTTTCAAGCATATACTCTGATTCCATATGATGTTCAGATGATTACTAACGGGTTACTAACCACGGTTCAAAATTCAGTATTTGAAAATGAGTGGAAATCTTTAATTGCTAAATATGTTACTGACAAACTATCCAATAAAAGGAACCCTCCTGACCATTTTAAAAACATGCTTTATGGTGAAGGACCCTTTTCTACCAGGGATTCTCAGGTCATGATTGAGAGACAATACCTGAACATCTCTCGTGACCTTGCCTTGCAGGCAATCAAAAAGGTTGCGGATGCTTATGCATCCACTCCTTCCTTCACCCTAATTCGCCAAGGTCAGGATGAGCCCTTTGTTGACTTTATCGTGCGTCTTAAGGAAGCGATAAACAAGCAGGTCCAACAGAAAGAGTCGCAGGAAATCTTATTTAAAAAACTAATAATTTAAAATGCCAATCAGGAATGTCAGCATGCTTTGAAATATTTAAAAGAACTGACATTATTCGAAATGATTGAAGCTTGCAAATATATAAATTCTAATACCCACAAAGCAAAATTAATGGTGGCAGCTCTTTCAGGACCCATTGCTTGTTTCCACTGTGAACAAAGAGGCCACTTGAAAAAACACTGCCCTCAATTATGCACTCAATCAGCACCTAATACACCTACCTTGCCCAAGACAGTATGTCAAAGATGCAAAAAAGGCAGGCATTGGACAAAAGACTGTCGGTCTGTAGTAGATGTCCATGGTAATCCCTTACCTCCCAAATCCCCAATTTTAAAGCATAAAGTTTCTTTTAAGTCTTGTGAAAACATTCCTTCTTCTGTTAATTCCAGTTTGGGAAACTTCCCTATGAGCGCCCGGGGGGGCGCGAGGACACCAAATTCCCCCCACATTTCCCAGACCACTCCCAGAAGGTTTTCTCTAAGTTGAATTCCTCTAGTACTTCTTCCGTTAATGATGAAACTTTGCATTGCATTTATTTACACCCCATTTCCCCAGTTACAATTTTAACGGATCAGGACTTGTTACTACGTGTTAAGCCTTCACAACCTGTTGTTTTTGAGGAAACTTATTTGTTGGTTTCAAACCCCATTTGTGTTCCCAAAGGAATTTTTATTATTCCCATGCTTTTACAAAATTTGGATGTTGATCATATCTGTATTCCAATTACTATATCTAAGCCTCCTATTCAAATTTTACAGAAAGATGCTATTGCTACCCTTATACCTCTTACCTATTTTATTACCTTACATAACACCATTCATAAAGAGACCATGGCTGCTTGGTCGCAAACAATTTGTCATTCACAACCAATTTTGTCCTGCACTTTAACACACACTGAATCGAAACACCCGCAGTCAATCACTGTCACTGGTTTAATTGATACAGGTGCTGACATCACCATTCTTGCTAAAAGGGATTGGCCTGAATCATAGGAAAACACCCAAACTCTTATCAATATCAATGGAGTGGGTGGATCCCAAGTTCCGTTAAAAAGTGCTAAATTGACTCAAATTCTAGGACCGGAGGACAAAGTAGCATCACTTTTTCCTTTTATTTTGGACATTCCACTTACCTTATGGGACAGGGACTCCCTGATGCAGTGGGGCATTGGACTCAGCTCAAATTTATAAAGTGGGCCACTGGTAAATTGCAGCTTCCCCCACTATCTTGGAAAACCACTACCCCAGTTTGGGTTGACCAGTGGCCCCTACCATCTGAAAAGCTGCAAGTTTTAAATCAATTGGTTCAAGAACAATTAGATAAAAGTCATATTGAGTCCTCAATGAGCCCCTGGAATACCCCTGTTTTTGTTATTAGGAAACCTTCTGTTTCTTGGAGGTTACCCCAGGATCTCAGAAAGGTAAATGAGGTCTTAGAGCCTATGGGAACCCTTCAGCAGGGCATGCCATCTCCAACAATGCTGCCTGCTGAATGGCCCATAGTAATTGTTGACATCAAGGACTGTTTTTTCCATATTTACTTGAATCCTGTTGATACCCCAAAATTTGCCTTTTCTGTACCATCCCTTAATTGCAGCCAACCCCACCAGAGGTACCAATGGAAAGTGTTGCCACAAGGGATGGAAAATTCCCCAACACTTTGCCAACTTTTCGTATCTCAAGTCCTTCTACCTATTCGCATTCGTTTTCCAAAGTCTATCATCCCACACTATATGGATGATATTCTAATCTGTGCTAAATCGGAATTCGATACAACATTGACACTTAATGCTGTTATTTCGGCTCTAAATTCAAATGGGTTGCATGTCGGACCCGAAAAAATACAAACCTCGACTCCTTGGAAGTATTTAGGACTACAAATTACTAATTCGGCAATAACTCCACAACAAATTACAATCAGAACTAATATTAAAACTTTGAACGATCTACAGAAACTTCTGGGTACAATTAACTGGATAAGACCAATTTTGGATATCACCACACAGGAATTAGATCCTCTTTTTAATTTGCTAAAAGGAGATTCTGCCTTGTCCTCCCCTAGAACCCTTACACCAGAAGCCAGACATGCTTTACAGCTTATTGAATGTAAATTATCAGGCAGGCAAAGTAGCCAAATGTTACTTGATATACCTGTTTCTTTAGTTATTGTGTTAAATTCTTTCCAACCTTTTGCCATCATTGGACAATTTTATTCTAATAATATTAATTTCTGTTTGTGGGAATGGTTGTTCCTCCCACATCAGTTTTCCAAAACCCTTACCACTCTTCCTGAGATGATTTCAATGTTATGCTTTAAGGGTTGTTCTCGTTGTATTGATCTTTCAGGCAAAGATCCAGATTTTATTTATTTCCCTTTAACCTCTTTACATTCACTTACTCAAATCCTCTCTAGATTTCCTAATCGCTATGACTGACTATCAAGGTGAATTTAAACTGCACTTATCTATTCGTCCTTTTCTTCAGAGACTTTTATCGATAACGATCCAGTTAAAGGTTTTGCTTTTCCAGTTCCACTTAAGGATGCTAAAGACATTTTTACAGATGGCTCAGGAAGGACGGGAAATGCTGTTGTTGTGTGGAGAGAGGGTGACATATGGAAACAGGACATCCGCAAAACATCTGGATTGGCTCAGCTAGTGGAACTCTCTGCTGTTGTTCGAGTTTTTATTCTTTTCCCTTCAGAACCTATTAATATTATTTCTTATTCGTCCTATGTTGTTGGTATTGTTTCGCGAATTGAGAACTCATACTTGAAATATGTATCCAACAAATTGCTTTTCCAGTTACTTACTTCTTTTTTATATTAATCACAGACGACATCCATATTTTATCACTCACACGCGCTCTCATACCACACTCCCTGGACCAGCGGCTCAAGGTAACCGTCGCGCGGATCGGTTAGCAGGTATTTTGGTAATTCCAAATTTATTACAGCAGGCGCGACTGTCTCATGAATTTTTTCACCAGAATGCTAAATCTTTACATAAACAATTCGGCATTACAATCAACCAAGCAAAAGACATTATAAAGGGTTGCCCCGACTGTCAGGCAGTAGCTTCTTTACGATCAGAGGGCGTAAATCCCAGAGGTCTTGAGCCTCTTCAAATTTGGCAGACTGATGTTACACATTTAAATGAATTCGGCAAACTAAAATTTATCCGTGTCTCCGTAGATCCTTTCTCAAAATTCATTGTGGCTACTGCCCATTCTGGGGAAAAAATTTGAGACGTGAAGAGACATTTCCTTGCTGCTTTTGCGCATATGGGGGTTCCTCATACCATCAAAACAGACAATGGACCCTCATACACTGCAAAAGAAACAGCAAAATTTTTCACAGATTGGGGAATTACTTACATAACTGGCATCCCCCATAATCCCACTGGTCAGGCTATAGTGGAGAGAGCACACCAATCTTTAAAAAATTTAATTAAAAAACAAAAAGGGGGAACCTTGGGAATGTCCCCTCAAGAAAAATTAGACAAAGATACTTATGTTTTGAATTTCTTAAACAGATTTGAAGATTGTAACACCCCTTATTTTAGAACACCGATTGGAAAACATTTTAAGTTCAATTCTGATGTTTCTTCTGTAAAACCAAAAATAATGTACAGAGATGTTCTAGCTGAGAAGTGGGCAGGACCTTTCCCTCTGATAACTTGGGGGAAAGGTCATGCATGTATTCAGACAGATACAGGAACGCGATGGGTACCGTTAAAGAGAGTACGTGTTCATCAGGACAAGGTACAGGAACCACTGCACCACTCTCCCTCTCGACAAGTGGACACATCGTCATCATTGTCACCACCATAATGTTATTGGTCGCGAAGCAGGTTGTATGTCCCCCTTCAGCAAAAATGCCACCTTGGTCCATGGGACAAGGGGAAAACATCTGGGTACAGTTAGAGAAGGAGGCAAATACCGACACCATTTGCCTGGCCACAAATAATGTTGCTAATCCATTTTCCACATGTTTAGTTGGTGTTCCTTTAAGCAAGAAAATGTTAGATGCCTACCAAAATCCGCCCAAAACAAATAAGCCTATTATTGAATTTGAATTACTGGGCACAGCTACAACAAGCTCGTGCATGACATTTGTACCGAAGGCCAATGTCTCAAAAAATAAATTACTACATGTCACCTCAAAAAAGGGAATCTATCAAAACGCAGCACTATGGTGTAATGGCACCACACCAACAAAGACTTTAGTAGGACCTATGACACATCCTAGAGAATTGCACCCTGGAGATTTTTTAATTTGCGGTGAGAGGGCATGGAATGGAATCCCAGCTAATCCCACGGGAGGTCCATGCACAATTGGCAAGATCACTCTGTTCCATCCATTCAATTTCAGCATACCAGGAGAAATAAAATCAAAAATCGTTCAGCCTGGTGTGCACAGTAAGAATAAAAAACAAATCATGACCTCCTCAGGAGCGGAAGTTATAAGAAGGGAGAAAGAAAAATATCCGTTAGCCTGGGACTCCTATCCACCCAAATCTGACACCCACCTCTCATCCAAATAAAAAGCAAATGCCGCTACTCCCACAACAAAAATCGATGTCAATAATAATCCTCTAGCATTTCCTAACTCTCTCACACATCTTCAATTATCAAGTTTTAAAATCAATTTTGGTAATTCGGACATTGGCAACTCTAAATTCCCAGTATTACAGTCTAAGAAAATGCAGGAGCCACCCAACCCAACATCATCTTCACTGAAGGACTACCTACCTGTATCTCAAAACTGTGATCCTTCAGTATGGCTATGGCCTAGCAGTAAGGATTTTTGGATTTCGTTCTTTGCTGCGGGCATAGCATCCGATCATGCACTAACCACCTTAAGCCCTATGACCTGTTGGATGGCGAAAGAAGCTAATGCCACCTCACTCACACTGCAAGGGTTATTAGAAGATACATTATCACTGAAGGGAGTTTCTTTACATAATCGTGCGGCTATAGATTTCCTATTAGTCCTACATAATCATGGATGCCAAGAATTCACCGACCTGTGCTGCCTAAACTTTTCAGATCATTCAAAATCAATTCAGGCAAACATCAATACGATACACAAATTAGTCTCTAAATTAAGGCAAGATCCCAAATGGTACACTCCAGACATATTCAAAAGTCTGAAGTGGCCTTTACTTCCCAATTGGGCGAGGCAAATACTTTTGGTTTGTGTTTCAATTCTAATTTCACTTATAGTTGTGTTATGTTTAATGTCATGTTTAGTTGCTATCTTCAAAAGGTATTGTCTTCCAAGAGTCAATGTTGCACAAGCACAAGCAAACCCACCGGACTACGAGACCATCTGCGTTCAAAAAGATAAAAAAGGGGGAGATGTGGAGGCACAGAGGAGAAAGGACTTCGAAATATGGAAACAAACCTACAATAAATACTGAACAGACTTTTCACAAAACTAATGGATGGACTTTCTACAAGATGGACAGACTTTATGTGCTTAACCGGCTATGGACACTTATGGACAAGTTTCATAATGTTTAATGTTTGTTTTAATGTTATAATAAGAATAGGATTAAATCCCCTCACAAACTACTGTTCCCTGATTGGTTGAAATCCCCCTGTTATGATTGGTTGTAATGTGCCGCAGTATGGGCGGGCATTACTTGAGGCAGATTATCAGTTGATTGGTTACCGGTTATGGCGTGCTATGTTTGTATGGTTCTTATTGGTTATACCCCTTGTCAGTCATGTAACTCCTCCCCTTGTTCTAGTCCCTTCTTCCCTGAACCTATAAAAACCCCTGTTCTCCCCTCAGGGGGGAGCGACATTTTTCCCAGAGGGTGTCGCAGCTGTCCCGGGAGCCCCTTCTTTTTTCCTGGGATTATCCCAGCTGCCAATAAACTAACAACAGTTTTACCAAACCCTTGTATCGCTCAGCTCCTTTTCCGCTCTTGGGCTGTGGCAGGGCATCTCTAAACAACAAGCCTTCTCACAACCCTTTCAGTTTGTTACTGAGCTGTGATACATTTTTCACTAAAATGAGAGAGATTTCATGCTCTCGTTTGAAAGAGAATGAGAGGGAATTTCCACTAAGATGAGGGAGATGAGCTGTGTAGCAAAGGTCCTCAGACCTCATAGGAATGAACTCTGATGGGCTGGCAGTTGCCACAGCTGCCACTACAGAGGGTGGCAAACTAAGGATGATATCTCTGAAGCTGGAAGAAGAGAAGGAAGACTTAGCTGTGCCCCATCCCTCAGGGGAACATGTACAGCATGGGACTGTAAAATTAGGATACCCTCTATGATTCTGGTTTTGCTTTGGGTTTTGTTTTGGTTTTTTTTCCTGTGTGATAAACATTCCCCTACATTAGATGAATCCCCTGTTGATGTGTACCTCCCGCCAGCTGTTGTTATCCAACAGAACTGTGTGAGGAGTTCAGCTGCTGTTCCTCTTGCGCTGCCACCTGTGAGAAACAGGGCTGATAATGGTCTCTGTGGACTGTTGAGGGCAAAGCTTGAGTGAAATTTTGGACACGTTCCTGAAGAGAAGAGACCCAAGGCACAATTCAGTCTACCTCAACCTGTTCCACAGTGGCAGCCCATTTCTCTTTTTCAGTTATTGATGAAATCACAGATCTCACCAGCGAATCTCCTGAGCCTGAAGTCATTGATCTAACTGGTGAGGAGGGACTACAGGTTGTTCCTAAGCTGCCTCCATTTCAACCCTGTTGCAGCAGCAGGAACAGAACCAGAAGCAGCCACTTCTTTTCAGCGCAGAAGTTAATTCTGTTGTGCAGCTGGTGAATGATGGTGAAGACGAACCAAGAGATAATGATGGGTATGTGACAGATACAGTGTCTTTCTAACGTCTAGTCTCTGACAGAGAGTAGAAAGAGGGTTTTGCCCACAAAATCTGCAGTAAAATCTAGCAGAAACCTTTCTTCATCCTTCATGAAGTCACTAGTGAATCGATCCTACAGTGTGGCTTGAGACATAATGAATTGCTTGCAGTACAGAAAAGCTCTTGAAATGACAGTGTTGCTGGGCTGGGATGTTGCTAAATAAGAGAAGGGGATGTTTGGATTTCTGACACTTTATGTGTTCCTAACCCTGGATGCACAGTGAAATTAATGGCTGCGTGTTCTTTCCAATTCTCTCTAGCACATGGTCAGCAGGAAATGCTGAGGAGACCTCACAGGTAAGGCTCCACGTGTTGTCATCCTTTTAGCTTTCTGGGAGGGGGAACCGGACAGAGAGGGATCTGCATAGCTCAGCTGGCTGATGTGGAATGCTTTGGACAGCTAGTTTGAAACTAGAACTGATGCAGTTTTGCTGAGTGGGAAGAGATACAACCAGCTCGGGGTTCTTGCTGAGCCTGTAGGTTATGTAGAGAGAGCAACAGGCAGTGGCTAACAGGTTAGGTTCACCCTGGTTGCGCACGTAGGAGAAAGACACACAACACAGTCCGTGAACACCTGAACAGCCAAAACTGATCTCCCTGAGGCCAAGGCTGATGTGGCTGAGCTGCCTTTATTGAGACAAAATGGTGGGGTTTATAGGGCTGGGTCAGGGAAGATGCTGGAAAGGAGGTGGAGCATGCAAATCCACTTACATTGATAGGTAGGGATTAAATGCATATGCATAAGGGGACGAGACAGCAACAGGGTATGACCAGGGATTGGCTGAGCTGTCGTGGTGCTATGAACTGTCCAATGGTAGCTGACACTGGCTCCTCCGCACGCAGTCCATGGCAACCACTCGCAACATGGTAACAACTGAGGCTTCAGCTCGACGAGGATTTTCTGCCTAAAAATCACCTACAACACAAACTGTTTTTCCACTACAATTATGTTGTTTATAAAATAAAAAGCTACAAAACCCATCTCCAACATAGAACGAACTGATAACAGATACTCCAAGTCCTATTTACTACTCAGTGCAAATCTGATTTCTGAAACGTGTTTTCTGGGGTACTTTTTCCTGGTGAGGCAACTGGGAAGAGATCGGGGGTGATGTCTTTTCCTTGATGCCATGGGCTCAGGTGGGAATGACCCACAGCACCATTCAATGCGTATTCCAGCCTTTGCAGAATTGTTTTCTGTATCCTCGTGCGCTTTCACTGGTGTTCCAAAAATGAGGGCCATGTTAATATTGCTGCCACACAAAATGCTCTGGCTTTGTTGTCTTAGAATCGGCAAAAGAGCCGTGGAGAAGCAGTTAATTCCACACAAGCTTCGAAACAAAGCAGGATGCCGCCTTCTAGTGAAGGTGGACCTTCAACAGCAGAGCCAACAGACCTCTAAGGAAATGGTATGCTTTCTTTTGATCTTGGTAAGAACAGAAACTGCTCCTGGAACACTGGGATACAGCTGAATATATGCTTTTGCCAGGCAGCCGAGTCTGGCCATCTCTTCTGCAGTCAGTGCCTCCTTCCTGTCCTTAGTACTTCCCAGGTTTGCCCAACCTGCAGGACAAACCTCCTTCCATGGGACTATCATCCCATTTTTTTCTGAGTACTTCTGTTTCTCAGGACAGACTCAGATGGATTTTGGAAAAAAAGTCAAGAATTCTTGACTTTTTTCTTCATGTAAATAGTTCTTGTTGCATACAGTTCCATTTTTTCCCAAGTTTAATTATAAATAAATTATTAGTTTATTTAAACATAGTCAAGTCTGTCTGTTCATCTCTGTTGGGCTCTGCTGGTAGACAGAGACTTCTTTTAATAGGTGAAAATAAAATTCTTGGTTTCATCAGTCAGAAGCACTTGTTCTTTTCATCACACTGTAGTTACTGATTTTGGGGGGAAAAAAAGCTGAAGGCATAAGTTCTGTAGTTCTTGGGGCAGTACGTGTTGTATGGTAAAAGGAAATGGACACCGCTTGGGGTGGGAGGGCTTCTATCTCTCAGCTGAATGTTTTGGTGAAAATGTCATGATTTCAGTACCTTGAAGATTGAAAGAGCAACAGACGGTGCACACATCCAATGAAAAGTAAACTGCTGTGGTCAACATTTAGCCTGAAAAATACGTTTTTACCTGTGAGGTAAAGACATAAAGCAACCGCTGGGGAGCGCAGCACCATCATGATCACCACCATCACTATCATCATCACCATCCCCATTTACCTTTCCCGCTCTAAAAGCAAATGGTGTGCAGAGGGTACAAGGAGCCAGCAACAGCTCCTAGACCCTGGCTGCTGACATAGTCTGGCAGGAAGTGTCCCCATCAGTCACAGGGAGATACACCGAACATCACCAACCAGTGCTGACAGGCATGTACCTGTCCATATTTTGGGAGAAAGCATCCTGCTGAGCACACAGGTTGTTTCTCTAACTGTCTGCCGGCCTAAGAAAGACCTACACTTCCCAAGCTCTGGTTTTAGCGCTTGCAAACATCTCCATCTGTCAGCTGGCTGTGGTATTTCACAGCTCAGGGGCTGTCACTGCTGAAACATCCTACCCTGTGTGGGAGCCTTCCACAAAGGCTCGTCCTGCATTTCCCTTAAAAAATTCTATTTCCTTAGTGGAGTTTTCAGTTCCTGGGGATAGAAACCTTATGGAAAAATAAACTGTCACGGACCTCAGATGCCATTACCTACTCAACCACCACTGGATGTGGCACACTCAGGGTTGACCCAAGGTTATTTGCAATCAGAATGCCAAATTCCTTGCTGCTTGGTGAGGAAATAAAAAATACAGACAGTTGCATTCTTACACTGACATTTCTAGTCAATCTGGATTAAAGGATACAAGTTTGCTGCAAGTTGTCACATCTGAAAAGCACTGCTTCCTTCTGTAAAGGAACTTTTTATTGAGTATTTTAGGATAGGAATTCTTTAGTCCTCTATTGCATTTTATGGATTTTAAAGGCTGCATATTTGGGAAGATATATTTTTACTTCTTCCAACAAATCTCACACAAGTTCAATCCAAAGCTCTGCTTTGATTTTGTTTGCTTGTTTTACACCTGCTCCATCAGCAGCCAACAGGCCTTTGCCAAAACTGTTAAGCCAAACGTAAAGCTGATATGAACAGGAGTCACCTACACAGGTGGGGGCTGGCAACCAAGATAGAACATGTCTCCAGGCTGAGAAATTGCAAATATTACCTTCTCAGTAACCATCCTGTTTTCACAAGATAGCAAAAAAATATTTCCTTTGCAAGCAAAAGCCCAGACAACAGTCCAGGGAAAAAAAAAAAAAAGGCAAATAAACAACCACCCCCCCAAATCAAACCAAACCAAACCAAACCACACCCATGGGACAGCTGTGGTGTGAAACTCAGGTTTCACACCTGAGCTACTCCACAGAGAATTTCCAAAGGTGAAATGACACAAGGAAAAAGCCTCCCAAAACCCCATCAAGAATCAGCGGGTTGGAGTTAAGACACCAAACTGCATTAAAAAAGGAGAGCAAAAGCTGAAAGTATTATGGTTAAGGTTGCCATGTTATTGTCAATACAAATAGTTGTAACCTAGCTCATTTCACAACTGTGTTATGAAGTAGCTGGGATAAAATGGACGGATGCAACATTTTTGTCAAGCCCAGTTGTTTTTGGGAAGATTATCTGCATGGCAGTAGATTTATAAGTGTGATGTGGGACCTATATTCTCCCCTCAGCACCTTTTTTGCTCCAGGTTGATTTTAGCAGGGAAAGCAGTTCCAGATTTCCAGCTAAACCAGCCCAGGACTATCTCATGCCCCAGTAGCCTTTTCATGCAATGAAGTGACGGGGGCTAATTTTCTTAGTTCTGTAGCTGATATTTTGTGTAGCTTCAGAGTATTGCTTAGCAGAACAGACATAATCAAGAAAATTAACATGACTGAGAGCCCAGACCTGGTATGCTGTAGGCTCACCTGTCAGACGCTTGAGGTCATCATTTTTAGATGATGACAGGGACGTGTTTTTCCCATGCAAGTGCACAGAGGCTGTCAGAGGGCACTTCTATTAGCTGCCTCGAAAGAGAGGGAAGATTTGCTTCAGAAGTTTTCAGTATTTCTCTGGCACTTTGCTACGAAGTGATGGAAATTGGAAGTCAGCTTAGCTAAAAAAAACAAATTTTGATTAATATGGGAGATGAATGCAAATGGCATGGGAGCAGTTGATGCAGTGATGCTCAGAGGTGGTGAGAGGCAGTTTTGGAGGGTGGTGCGACAAGTTTGTCTGCCAGGTATTTCTGGTAAGGCAGCTGCTGGCAAATAGCTTCCAGTAAGCCACAAACACCGTGCACTGTGTGAACAATTAAAAAATAAAAATGAAAGGGGAGTAGTTAACATTATCCCAATATTAACCTCTAAAACAATAACCAGCAGTTACAACTTGCCCTGGTTTCCTGCTTGCCCCAAGGACGCAGCAACCTCACTGACGTTTCTGTGTCAGGATTTCTCCTCTTTATACTTTGGGTTTAATTTAAGACCTTGTGCCCTGCTGAAGTAGAATTAAACCATCACTTCTTCTGGGGATGGGGACATGCTGTTTCCCTAATAAGGTGGGTGTGGAGGACAGAAAAGTTCAGTGCGGAGGCACAGAGAAGAAAGGATTTTTACTGATGGAAAGAAGCCTACAAGAAACACTAAAAGGACTCTGTAAAGCCCAAGCGCTTCAGGCAGGAGACACAGATTTCCTCAAAGCCTTCCCAATTTATTTTGACGAAGGGCCTACACCTCAGTGGACACCGATTTCCTACCCGA